TATATTTGTTGGTGGAGGTGAGTTGGTATCTGGTATAATGTGATTCAGAAACCTTATAGATGTCAAGGTAGCATGTCTGATTTCTGAGTTGGTATCTGCTGTTGGTTTCTATGATATGGATGTCCATGAATCAAAATAGGTAAAGAACTTTCATTCCTAAATTCCGTATGACAAGGTATGTCAAGGTAGCATGTCTGATTTCTGAGTTGGTATCTGGTGTTGGTTTCTATGATATGGATGTCCATGAATCAAAATAGGTGGTAAAGAACTTTCATTCCTAAATTCCATATGACACTAAATGTCACCTTGTACAAATCAAATTTTGAAGAGAGTAACAGTGCTATTTAAAAGTAATCAAATTAAAAATAATTAATAATGTGATTCAGAACCCTTATAGATGTCAAAGTAGCATGTCTGATTTCAGATTAATTTTTCACTTGCACTTGAATCCAATTTGTAAAATTTGGTTGTTGGTTTATAATACACATACCAACTTGTAATTAACTATACATACAATTTCATACCTTGTGGTTTATAAAGTGTCATACTGGGTAAATAGCCATTGATAATTTTAAAATTGAAGTCTACAAAGAGGCAATCAATATGTAAATTAACTCCTACACCAAGCAGAAGTCTAGTGAGGTTGTGTATCATTGTTTAATGGAGTATGAAATCAGTTAGTTGTAAGTTTGGATGTATGTTAATCATATCAACAGATGGTATGCCACTATTTATAGTGCTAACTCTTTTTATCTATACAACACCTCCTTCACAACTTAGTTTCTAATCATTTACCTGGAGAACTTCAAGTACGTCTCACATCATTGCCAATATCTCAGGCTAGAACAACCAAACTAGTTTCAGCTTGGTTGTAAATATTTTGCTGTGTCGATTAGCCACAATTCAAGGTTAATTAAACAGTTTGCTGACTATGCTCATGCATCAAAGTTCATATCTAATTTATATCTATGAAATTCCGTCCTATTTTTCAACCAGCTGTATATGAAACATGTATCTCAGACTTTTATCAGTCTGAATGAATGCTGAGAATTTTAACATGGGAATCATAACATGGGAATGGTGGTGGGTGGGGTGGCTCTCTGGAAGCTGGGCCATCTTCTTTTCTGCCATAGAAACATTAGAAAACCCAAATAAATTTTTTTTAGTTAATTATGATTTTTGATGAAATAAATCTCATCTCATATTTCCAAATTCATATGAATATCATGGAATGTAATTAAATAAGAAAAGACACCAGACAAATTTATTCACAGCTTTTAAACTTTAAGTTGTTATTTGGTTTAAAAAAAAACCCACAAAATTCTGTTTCCTTCCATTCCAAGACTAAATCAGCTAAACCAAATTATTGCAACTTGATTGATAAATTTTATTCTTAACCAGTGAATCGGTTTAAGATTCAGGGTTTGGTCTCAGCTTAATTCTAAAATAATGCATTTCAGATTTTGGTCCAAAACCCCTAATTTGGGTGCAAAATATGTACACAAAGATGGAGTTTGTTTGCATGGTTTCCATGTCTATTGCTTTAAGTTACAACTTTAACTTTATTAAGTAAACTAATATTAATTATATTTATCCATCTGTATTTAAGTATATATGACATTTTGTGTTTATTTTGTATCCTAGCAACTTAATTAATCAAAATGATACTATATGTTATCTGATAATTACCAACATTAGAATACACACAGCTAATGCCTTGTGTCATATATTTCCCTCAGTCTGATCCAATGGCATCAAATTCTATGAAAAACGAAACCTAATGGTACCCAGTTTCACAAGAAAACATACAGACCTTATGGTACCCAGTTTCACAAGAAAACATACAGACCTTATGGTACCAAGTTTCACTAAAAAACAAACAGACCTTATGGTACCCAGTTTCACAAGAAAACATACAGATCTTATGGTACCAGTTTCACAAGAAAATATACAGACCTTATGGTACCCAGTTTCACAAGAAAACATACAGATCTTATGGTACCCAGTTTCACAAGAAAACATACAGATCTTATGGTACCAGTTTCACAAGAAAACAAATAGACCTTATGGTACCCAGTTTCACAAGAAAACATAAAGATCTTATGGTACCAGTTTCACAAGAAAACAAATAGACCTTATGGTACCAAGTTTCACAAGAAAACATACAGACCTTATGGTACCAGGTTTCACTAAAAACCAGTCCAACACTGTAGACCACCATACAGACCTTATGGTGCCCAGTACATCAGAAAACCAGTAAAACACTGTAGACCACCATACAGATCTTATGGTGCCCAGTAGATCAGAAAACCAGTCAAACACTGTAGACCACCATACAGATCTTATGTGCCCAGTAGGTCAGAAAACCAGTCCAACACTGTAGAACACCATGCAGACCCAGTAGGCAAGAAAACCAGTCCAATACTGTAGACCACCATACAGAACTTATGGTGCCCAGTAGATCAGAAAACCAGGCCAACAC